GGCCAATCATAGTCGAGCGTTTAAAAACGTAAGATCTTAATTTTGATTGCGATTGGTCGATTTGCTTGCAACCTTACGATTCCGACTAAAATTTTTGTACGTGTGATGGCCTTGAGGCTTAAAACACCTATTGTAGATCCGGACTTAAACGGGGAGCACAAACTCTTGCATAACGCATAACACGTAATGCATGAGAAAAGAAACCAATCAAAGTTCTTCGTTTCCTTCCTTTCCAAGAAAACAAAGAACTATAATTGGTTCAATTTCTTATGCCTTATGTGTTATGCGTTTTGCAAGAGCGTGCTCCTCGCTTTACGCTGGATCTACAATAGAGTTCTAAGCCTCAAGTCCTAAGAAGTGGACGAATCATAATCGATTGTTCTCCTCGAATTCGACTGTAATTGGTCAATTTCTTACGACTTAAGGCTTAAAACACCGATTGTAGATCCAGGGTTACGCAAGGTACGCCGCATGTGAAGGTGCCCTAATTATGCAAAGCTGTGTCGCCTGTCGCAGCCCATACCGAAAGAACGCGGAAGCGAAATGCTCGACGTGACGAAATAACCGATCCGACACGATTGGGATCACGATGTCCCTTTCACCCGCGAATGACTTGTCTTACGTAAAATACAAATTATCCGTGAGTTATAAAGTCTGTTCTTTTTAGCTAAAGTTCTCGCACGGTTCATCTTTCTTCCTTTTCTCTCCACATTGGAGAGAAAAAGAGACTATACACTTGTTAAAAAGTTCACCTCTTGCCGTTTCAAGCGCACAAATACATCTTCACGTACGCATTGTACGCAATATCATTGACAGCAATTCGCAGATGCAGACCAGTGCAGACGACGTCTAGCTGTCAGTTGTCAGTTTAGTTTGCTCGAAATCGTAACCGTGTAAATTTTATATTGTCTCCATTTTTTAACAGGTAAATATGTATTAAATACACAAATGCATGAATGGCTGGAGATGACAGGACGCAAATGCTCGGACGCGGTCTCGGATTTATCTAATTTGTCTCTGTGCGGGAGAAAGAAAGACTCGCTCACATGCGCCTCATCCGCAAAAAATTCAAGGATATAATACGCACATTTCACGAAAGAAAATCATGTCTTTCTTTTTTCAAACTTAAATCGCTTCTCATTCCGAGCGCTTCGAGCTTTGACGTACACCTCCCCAAAGAATAACAATACATGGTTTATTCGCGTCGCAAGATCCAACATGCCTCAACGTGCTCCTACCATAGCTCCTATTCACTCTATCGAGCGCCTTGGAGTCAGTAACAGTTATTGTAGGAGCATATTGAAACGTGTTGGAGTATGCGACACGAACAAATCTTACGATGTTCCCGTGTATCGTCTTATCCTTTTAACGTTGGATGAGCAAAGAGGGTAAAACGATATGTGAAGGCCAGTGGAGGCTCTCGGGTAACGTTTCCGAATGCGGCTTAGGTGGTTTCCATTTGGTAACGTAAGTTGATATAAGTATCTTTCCATCTTTGCTACTCTCTGAATGTCAAAAAAGATAGAATGATGTTTCTGTTGACTTATGTCACTAAATGAATAGCACTCAATATGTTGTCACTTGATTGAAGTTACACAATCTGTTTACTTGGTAGATAAGCTCACAGCATGGCCGATAAGTATACTTGCTACGGTGTAGGTGATATATGCATACATTCGCATGCATGCATCTACTTTTTAAGTTTTCTAACCAGGTAGTAAATTACTTTCTTTTTTTTCTATACGTATGTTCTTCTCGATTTCTCATTATGATTTTTGATAGAGGAATTTTTTGATCAAAATAATGTAATCTCTTTTAGCGATTGTATTACATCGAATGAGGCACTGAATCCACTCGTGTGAATCATTTGGTTCGAATCCTCGTCTCTCATCAGCTGTTCAAGAATGTATGTTATCTATATCATGTTATTACAGATGAAAATGAATCAGAATATTTGAGTGTCGAATGTCACCCGAGGGTGTAAACGAAATTTCAAGTGCCACAGTTATGTACATGCAAGTACTAGCAGTCTATGGAAAAAGGTTTAGATTTAAATACTGGAAGATGTCTGATGCTTGTATACAAGAACGATAGATAATTAAAACAAACTGTTGCAAGGAAGAATAGAAAGTTGTATTTACTGAGCGTATCATTGCGGGATACATTATGTCGGGTACTGTCATATCGCAAACCATTGCTCATTTGCCAGAGAAGGAACATGGATCTATTCCAACTGTAGATTACTCTAGTATTAGAGGCAAGGTATATCGAGATGTTTAATTATTCTAAATTATGTCTCTTCTAAGATGTTGTTTTACAGTATTTTATAAGAATGTAGATTAATGTAAATTTTAGACTATCTTGGTCAGTCCATCTGAAGATCAGTATGAATTATTATTGAAAAGGCTGAAAGAAAGGATACAGGATGGAGGTAGCGAAACGATTTTTGACATTGGTATCGCTGAAGGTCAGTACTGAAAAAAGATGTTAAAGAAAAAGAAATTATAATTATTACTCAATATATATATATATATATATATATATAACTTATTATCTATGCGATACGCAGATGGATCCGAGGATGGATTAAAGGAGGACGAGTATGAAGCATCGGTTGCCACTTTACAGTCTCTCGCTGCAACATTGGAAGCAGATTGTGTGCTTCTACGTCAAAGTAAGGCAGATCATGGTCTAACGGGACAGTATCTAGTGAGAAGACGTCTAGATCGACAAGATTTCTTAGAGATCAGGTTTTTATTTAATGATGTAATTTTTGGATCGCCGTTCTACAGTCTATAATTTATAGCTTCGAACGAGTAACTACTATTTATAGGGTTGCTGTGGTCGGTAATGTGGATGCTGGTAAATCGACTCTATTAGGTGTTCTGACTCATGGTGAACTTGACAATGGACGAGGATTGGCACGTCAAAAATTATTTCGCCATAAACATGAGGCTGAAACAGGACGTACTAGCTCTGTTGGAAATGACATACTTGGATTTGATAGTGTTGGTGAGTGTTGGATCTTGACTCTCTGTAGTACATTATGTGATTATTCTTCTTTTACTGTAGTATCATTATATACTCGCAGGTAATGTAGTTAATAAACCTGAGCATGGTTCGTTGGATTGGGTGAAGATTTGTGAAAAATCCTCTAAAGTAATTACATTTATCGATCTCGCTGGTCACGAGAGATATTTGAAGACGACTGTTTTTGGAATGACGGGACACGCTCCAGATTTTGGTAAAAATGTATTGTTGTTATAACTATAAAATCCGGAAAAGAAAATATCTAACGAATATATTTCTTTTATTCGCGGTGTCATTTGCAATTATGTAATTTAAAAGAGCCCTGTGATTTTGATACAAATATTATTCCAGGTATGTTAATGATCGGAGCAAATGCCGGTATTGTAGGGATGACCAAAGAACATTTAGGACTTGCTTTAGCGTTATCTGTACCGGTATTCGTTGTCGTGACGAAAATCGATATGTGCCCGCCGAATGTTCTGCAAGAAAATTTGAAACTGCTAATAAGAATTTTGAAATCTCCTGGTTGCAGGAAAGTCCCGGTTACAGTGAAGACGCCTGATGATGTTGTAGTTAGCGCTACTAACTTTGTCTCAGAACGGTTAGTTCGTAATATATCGTAAGAATTCTACTAAAAAAAAAAGGAGAAAAGTAAACTTCGTATACTAAAATATTCATAAAATATTACAATATTTCATACAGATTATGTCCAATATTTCAAGTATCCAACGTGTCCGGCGAACATCTAAATCTTCTTAAGATGTTTCTCAACTTATTGACTGCGAGAATTACTAGTCATGATGATGAACCTGCTGAGTTTCAAATAGATGATACATATTCTGTACCAGTACGTATATAATATTACATATATAAATCTTTTTTTCTCGAATGCACAAAAATGTTGTGAGAATAAATGAAAAATTATAGGGAGTTGGTACAGTAGTGTCTGGTACAACTTTAAAAGGTATCATAAAGCTAAATGATACGTTGCTATTAGGACCTGATCCACTGGGTCGTTTTACACCTATAACCGTGAAAAGCATCCATCGAAAGAGGATGCCTGTTCGCGAAGTGAGAGGTGGACAAACGGCTAGTTTTGCTCTGAAAAAGATTAAACGGTCGCATATTCGCAAAGGTATGGTAATGGTCGCACCTGCACTTAATCCACAGGCCTGTTGGGAATTTGAAGGCGAAATTTTGGTGCTGCATCATCCTACAACAATCAGTTCCCGTTATCAAGCAATGGGTAATTATTAGAATACGATTGTTATATCCTTATCATATAAATTACTTTTTTATTACAAAAATTATTATTATTAACAGTACATTGCGGTAGTATAAGACAAACTGCTTCTATATTGTCAATGTCTCAGGATTGTCTGAGAACAGGCGACAAAGCCTTGGTACACTTTAGATTTATCAAACATCCCGAGTACATAAAACCTGGACAGAGAATGGTGTTTAGAGAGGGTCGTACTAAAGCAGTAGGAAATGTAGTGAAACTTATACAGCATTCGAATAATATAACTACACAAGCGTCTAGAATTAGTAAACCGAATAAAACGTCACAGAGTCGGCAGAATGCAAACGTACAGGTATATACGCGATATTTTTAATGTGACAAAATTAAGATAATCATTATTATTATTATTATTATTATGTATTATTCTTTTAAATTCAACCATGTAAAAACTTTTACTATTTTTATTAATGAGAACTAAAAATACGATAATGAATAAACGTAATAATTTTTCTTTTTTTAGACACTGGAAATGACCGAAACTGATTCGATGATTGAAGCACAAACAGCTAAACAAGAAAATGTACTGCAGAAATCTGGATTGAATCAGAATAAGAAAAGTAGAGGTCGAAGAGGACGATCTCATAATGCTATCAACAATATTCAGCCTTTAACAGAGCAGAACCCTCCTGCAAAAGTGAAAGAGCAGTGTACAAAGAACGCATATAATTAATGTTCTTATAGCTTTCTACTACGTATAAAGGTGTGTTCCGAATTACGCATGAGTATGAGGTATCATTTTATCTTTCTTTATTCTTCAATGAACAACAAATGATGCATTATGCGCTTTGTGCGTAATTCGGAACGCATCTTAAGTTTCTAAAAATGTGATCCACGAGATACGAAATTATTGTACTCTGAAACAATTTTTTTTCTCCTGATATAAAAACTTGCACTTTATAGATATTGTGTAGAAACCTATTATAAATTTATTAAAATACGTGCTATATAAATTTATTACAGTATAATTTTTCGTGTCTCGACTATTTTAATCATATTAAAAAGATATTCTTTTAACGCGACAAAATATAAAATATCTCGGTATTTATAAATTATATTATTTTTGTAAAAGGCATACGCGTATCGATACTATACATACAAATAAAATCAGGAAATACACAATACATGACTTCATACGTAATGTGTATATGGATGCACTATACCACTTACACTTGTACAAAAGAGTATACAAACTTCTTTTATCAACTCTTAGAATTTGAAGATAAAACTTGAAATATTGTTGCCAATGTTGTGTACATTGTAATAATATATCTTCTATAATAATTTTATGAAAAGAATATATAATCTCATTTACACGTCATTCAATATATTTTGGAACTTCGAGCAGAGACGTATCATACTGTATTTCAAGTATAAAATGAAAATTTTCCATTATATTAAACATCTATTTCCTAATAATTATTCATACATACCGCAGAAAGAAGATATATGTCCTTCATAAATTTAGACATCATTCCTACATAACTGAGCACTTATTTATTATCAATTGTACATGTTGCTAAAATATTGTGATCAGAAATGTATTAAATAAAACTTTCGTTTTATTAAATACAGAATTTTACATGTTTTATTATCCTTTATAAAAATTATTTAACGATTTTATGCAATCTAAATACAGGAACTAGGATGTAAAGTTTGACATAAAATATCTATCATAGATTATTTCTTAAATTTATTTTTTTCTTCTAATTGTCGCTTCAATTGGTCAGCAATATCTTTCAGCTGTTTGATAAAGTCTTTTGGACCAGAGATAGGACGTGATCCACTAATCATACCTGCTCTAATTAGTATGTATACTACAAATTGTGCAGTTTGTCTCATTGGTTTGGATTCTGCTAATCTTTTAATCAACTTTTCATTGTTGGATAAGTACCGGAAAAGAACTCTTAGAGGCATCCTCAAAGTTATTTTTCTTTATCCTCGCAAACGTGCACATGCGCGTTTACACTTTTGGTATTTCAAATGTACATGTATTACGATATTTCAATAGAAGTTCACGCTTCAATCTCAATTGTTTGCGCAAAGTCTCGAGCTTTTGCAATTGTTCCTCCTTACTGTACTCTATCCCTGGTAATCTTTTAATCTAGAAAAAAAAAACAACTGTCATATGTACGAAAAATGCCAGGATATTTTTTAACACATCCATACAGAAGAATGATACAGCTTTTACCTGGGATCTTGCAGAGTCTAACTTCTTCTGTAACTCTAGGATTTTGTGACTGGTATCTTGAGACTCTTTTGCCTTTTGCGAAGTGTCATGTGGATCTTTCTCAATGCTAAAAATTATAACTAGCAGCACTTATGTCGATATGTCAAAAATATAAATATTTGCACACATCCATGTTTGACTAACGATCCAATAGTATTTCTACCAATTGTACACAATTGTACAAAAAATGTTCCTGAAATACTTGAACAAATTTCTCAGAATTTTGATACAATTCCTAAAAATTCATTCTTTTACTTGACTTAGGTATCAACTCAAAATGTTAGCAATTTACAGCAAATTCAATCAGATTCTACTACAATCTATGTTTGCATTAAGCTCAGGATTTATCAACAGAGATTGTTGGCGTGTTAAATATATCAGTAGTTCAATTCTGTAACTTAACGACAGTTCAGTTACAGAATCGTTATATTGTTATGCAGATATTGGACTACATTCCACTTAACGTTCATAATACTTGAGTATATTATCTCATCCTTGTTTAATATTTTATGACAAGAATGAAATAAGCAGGTGTTGCCAATGTTAAGTAGGGCTGTGTTCTGTTTCACGCATGATGTGCATAATGCATCATTTATCCTTGTTTAACATTCGGTGAACTAACAAGGATAAAAGGTGCATCATGTGCATCATGTGTGAAACGGAACGCAGCCTAGGATGCATCCACTGTATATGATAAAAGAACTGCAGAACAACATAACAATACCGAATTGTCATTAAGAATTATAGAATCAAGATACAGATTGATGATAGAAATCGAGCAGACTCTGCATATACGGGTAATCTAACGAGAGACTAGCAGCAGAAACAAGTAGAGGCTGCAATCCTGCTTGATTTTTGCTATCAATCTGCTTGCATAGCAAGTCAACAGGTCTCGTCATATTTCTGGTGGCAATTTATCGACATTATCGGATTATACTGTGTGATCAACATTATACTGTGTGAAATTTAATGCCTTTTTGCCACCAGATAGCAATTTTGCTCAAAATCTGTCTTTAAAGGCTCAACTATTTGGAAATAAGACGGTAAGCGTTTGCAGATTTATGTTCATGCGATATAACTTAAATAAAAACGCGACAGCAACACATGAAAAACAATTAAAGAAACATCGATAGCATATCAGCTGTTCTCAAAAAAAAAAAAAAAAAAATGCCTTTTACAAAAACGTTAAGAAAATTTTGATTTCGATCGGTTTTAGGTTACGTAATTGTCTTGGAATTAACGACTCACCTGAACATAAAAATGAATAAGATCATGAGGAATATGTACCTGCGAATAATCTCGTAAATAAGCGGCAATATTTCTATGTCTAAATTGTCGACAGTGAACTGTGTCCTCAGTGAAATGTCCTCTGACAATTCCACCGACTCCATTATGAATATGAGCTATGACTGAAAATCTATAGTTTACGTTACGTGCACTATAGATTTTTAGTACTAGGTCTGTTCGCGTTTCAATGAAATCCCCAAATATTTTTGCACTTAGGGTGCGGTCACATACAGCCAGCATAATAGGTTGGTATTCATAGTCGATTCTTATGCGGGGTCTACGATAGAAATCGTAACGGTCGTAGGGTCTTAAATCGTAGAAAATTGATCAATCATAGTTGATTATTCTTCTCATATTCGACTGTGATTGGTCAATTTTCGACGACTTAAAACCCTACGACTGCTACGACTTCTATTGTAGACCCCGCATTATATTTGAGACTGTCTTAAGTACAGGCTTAAGATGTCATCAGCCAATGAAAGGGCTGCATTAGCATCTTAAGACAATGGCTGCGTTCAGCAGACTCAACAGTTTTGCAACCGTTTTATGATTGTCTGCTGAGATAGGACCATTCTTCTAGATCTAAAAGTATGATCCAATTAGCGCGAAGGAAACTTACAACAGTTGCAAAACAAACGTTCTGCTGAACGCAGCCATTACTTAAGACGGGCTTAAAAGAACGGACTATGAATACCGCCCATAATGCCCGTGTCACACTACGCATTGGAGATTGAGGATTGCGAATTAAGGATTAGAATTCGACCAATCAGGTAATTTTAAGTTTAATCCGTTTCGTTCTAATTGGCTGAATTTTAATTCTCAATTCGCAATCCTCAGTCTCCAATGCGTAGTGTGACACGGGCATAAGGGTGCCGTCACATACAGTCCGCAATCCGTAATCCGCACCGGATGCTCGCAAAAGCATCTAGAGATTGCGTATGTACGGCAGATATTTCTCACGTAATCCGCAACTACGTGAAAAGAGAGTTCTAGTGCAGTCTAGTGCACGTCAGAAAATAGACCATTTGTTGTATTTCCACTAATAACATATATCAAAGATTCATTATGCACTTCTAATTTCAAAATTGTTGTCAAACAAATTAATCACTATTTATAAATTAAAGGTAGGTTATGGCACGTTTATTTTTGTTTGACATCGGAGTGCAATTGCGTTGCGTGCTTACATGCTCCTTCTGTCGCCGCAAAATGCGGACGTGTGTAAATGTAATTTTTGTTTAAGAAGTTATACTGTTCATTTTTTTATTTTATTTTAGAGATTTAGAGAGTATTTATTTTAAGAAAATTACAGAATATGTTTTGATTATAACAAAAGTTTAATTAAATCGTCAAATTTAGTTAAATAGATAAAATTAGGAAAAGCATTACTGGTAATAACTAGTAATTTTTACGGAAATTCACGAGATTACGGCTCTATGGGACACAAGGAGGTAAAACACACGTAACGTTACGGACGCAATACCTAGTAATTTTTGCAGACATCCAGTGCGGATTATGGATTACGGGCTGTACGTGACGGCACCCTAATCCGTAATCCGCACCGGATGTCTGCAAAAGTTACTAGGTATTGCGTCCGTAAAGCCCAAGACACAAT